ATTGAATTTTCGGGCCGGGCCGGGACGGGCCGGTCCATAGTCGGTCCCATAACGGGTCCCGGTCGGTCCCGGTCCCACGAAACTACCAAAAACCTCAACCGGTCCCGGTTTTCGGTCCCATAACCGGTCCTTACCGGTCCCGGTCCCGGGCCGGTCCTTTGTCGGTCCCGGTCCAGGTCCTCCGGCGGTCCCGGGCCGGGCCCATTTGGTCATCTCTAATCCAGACTCCATGAAATTAATCAACACATTTTTACATTTGTATGGATGAAATGGGGATTATGGTGTTAATATGTTGACCACTGATATGAGTCAACAGCTTCCATCTTTGGGTATGAGTGAGTATATGAGATGTGGGATAAAAAGAAATGGGAATTTGGACGGTCTGAGATGCATGATATACTTTCATGAGTATATAATAAAGTTATAAAAATATGACTTCCTGCATTCATTCATGATATGGATTTCACAACATATACACATGAATATACTATACAACATGTAACCTCTCTGCTACACCATTCATCACATCTATTTCTAACCATCAACAAAAACTTGATACATATCACAACTCCTTTTTGGGTTTGAGTCATAAAAACAACTTTTCAATTAAGCCATGAGCTTGCTACATGGTTAGTCACGCATCTTCAATTCCTCCCTTTGTGAGTCAGTCGCAATATCTTATGATTCAAATCCAAAACATGGTGTGTAACTCTACATCGAATGCCGATTATCAGCTTTATCTTTTGGTGGTCGTTCATCCTGGATCTCTACCAGTTCTTCGTCATCCCCTCGTTTGCCTGCCTGCTCCTTCCAGTACGCCAATAGCTTCTTTAACCGTGCAACTTCCTTTGACGAAACATTCTTGCTTGGATCATTTACAATTGAGCGCACCCTCGATGCATATCTTCATTACAAAACAACACATAAACTTCAATGTAATACAAACTGCAGCATATATATATAGAGAGAGAGATTGGTTATTATACAATCCTTGGCATTTGTGCAACCAATACAACTCAATCTCAACCGTCCATTTCATTTGATTAATATGTGATTTCATAATATATATGTGAAAAATAATACGATACTTACGTAAGAGAGTTGTAAGTTTCCTCCAAGTTTGACTCGGCTGGAGAGATATTGACAAACATTAATGTCTTGGCATTTCCACCGAGTGAATCACTCATCAGCATTGTGAGCTTGTGATTCCTGTAAGGTATGTGCTGATTGCCAGAAGATAAAGCACTTATAACATCACCAAGTGCCGACAATGATTTATTGATGCTTTGAGCTTCCTTTAGTTGATTACCAGCAGACCCTGATTTTTTCACTCTTTCAGAACCAGCAAGATCAACAAAACTTAGCTGCATCAGAAAATAAAATAAGATTACATATTGTGTCAGTGTAATGCATTTTACTTCAAAATAAGTAATGAGTCATACCTTTCCCCTGGCAATTGATTGAGTTTGGAGGTTTGTACTCTCAATGATGATAGATAGGATCAAATGAGACCTTGAACTCGCTTCATTCATCAGAGTCTCAGTTGTGTGCCGTTGATCTGTGCCTCTTTGAATAATGTTTTTAAGATCATCATATGTGGAAATGGGTACAACTGTCGCATTTTCTACCGTCACCATTCCCTACACAAACCAATTTCAGTCAGTTGTCATAATTTAACTGGTATAATATTCTATATGCTACTTTTAAGTTCAACTGACCTTCGAGTCTTTTTTGATCTCTAATTTCGACCGCTTTGCTTGCTTTGAAATTAGAAGATCCACCAAGGTGTCTTGATATAACTCCAACATGTATGCCTGCATGCATACGCAATCAGAACGATATACGCTGAAATTGATTGAATATCTAGCATACCCTTCAACAAACACAAATAAATTATTCTTGCGGACCCAAATAAATAACTTCAATATATTAGCAATGGTAATAATTGACATATGGGTAGTTTTTAATGGAATCTTTCTAAAGATTGGAATGGTTACAATTTTTTGGAAATCCCAAAAATGGAAAGTTTTGCAACATTCATGTGACAGAGGGAGTATTCATTACAAAAAACAAGTGTTACCTTCAAAGAGAAATTGAATTTGTTGCGATCCCGCTTCAGAACTTTAAATAGTTCAGAAGTGGCTAGGGGGGTAAGTCCAGGATTGCTGTCAGATCCATATATGGTAAATGTTTTCCCAGAACCTGTCTGACCATATGCAAATATACACACATTGTACCCATCCACAGCCGACTGCACCAGATACTGCATTAAAAGGAACATGTTGTTAATTAGAAAAGATTGAAACAAAAAGTAGTTGTATCACCGTTAATTTTTTTTGCACTTGCCCTTGTATCATTGAAGACATCTTCTTGAGTGGCATTGCCATCAAATACACGATCATAACAGTGCTGCTTAATCTTTTCATCTCTTCCTAAATGTTGAACAGTAAACTCATCAACACTAGTAAGCACATTTCTTTCTTTCTCCGAGGTTTCCTTTGGTGTGAGAGGCCTTAATCGACAGTACACTCTGATCTTGCCTTTCATGTCTGGGATGATGGTGAAGCACATTGATTAGACGCACAGCAAAAATAAAAATGATATTTAATGAATAAAAGATATTACTTCCTCCATCACAAAAAAGTTCACTCCATTAGGGTGCGTTTGGTGTCCGGACAGGATATGACAAAACAGGACAAAACAAATAAGTTGTTCAACATTTGGTAAGACAGAACTAAACAAAGTCAAATGACCAAGTTACCTCTAATGAGTTGTTTATATATTTTGATTAATTTATGTAATTTATTAAATTATAATAAAATAATTATTTTTATAACAAAATACATCATTAGAAAGTTTTCATCAAAACAATTAAAATGACACCAAAATAAAAGGTTTATGTAGTTTCCAATCTTTATTTTATCCCTTTTCTACATTATTTTTTATTATTAATATATAATAAATTATGTGAATTAATAAAAATATAAAAACCGTATAAAAATAATATTTTGAGGACATTAAAATGAAAGTTTAAAAAACATAAAATACAATAAATAAAATTTAAAGAATGAATAAAATGTAAAAAAGAGAGCTATTTGATGTTTTAGAAGAGAATTAAGTTCTATTTTGAGATTAGATTGGTAAAATATAAGTCTGTTCCACCTTGTTCCATGTTTTAGAAGAGAATTAAGTTCTATTTTGAGGTTATATTGGTAAAATATAAGTATGTTCCACCTTATTCCATGGGGTAGGGGTGGAACATGCTTGTCTCTGTTCCTGTTTGTTCCATATAAAAGTCCTGCCAAACGTGGAACAGGGATCCCTATTCTTTTACCTTCTGTCATGTCCAGTGTACCAAAAGCACCCTTAGTGATGGACCTAGTATGTTTCAAATTCAAATCTAACATAGATTTTTCAACTTCTCTATCTCCAAAATGTTTCTACTTGAATACTTTTCAATTTAATCTACACAAACAAAATAACTAGAGTCAAATTTTAAGTTGACACTCAAAAGTCAACGTAACCTGTTCCTGGGTGAGAGGCAGTAACACACTCAAACACGAGTCCATTATTACCTTCAATAATGTTGAAGTATCGTTTTCTCAAAACCAGTTCCTCCTTGTAAAGCGCCTCAAATTCAGCCAACTGCGCCCCTTGCATTTTCAATATGGCAGCGGTTTGCTCATTTTTCCTATCAATATCCTGAAGGAGAAAAAAGAAACATTGGTAATTTACAATTATCTCAAGAGTTCAAACAAGAGATTTAAAATGAAAATTACCTCCTTCATTTCTCTTAGATCCTCCAATTCTTTAAGATTTATATGCAATGTTGACAACTCAGTATCTTTGAGTGCTAAACTAGACTCCGCAGCAACCAATTTCTGGGTGAGCTCTTCTACCTTCTTCTCGAGTTGAGAAATTCGAGGCTTTGTCATCTTTCTTTCTTGTTCCAAGTCTTTCTCCAGCAACCGTATCTAAACTCTCAATCGTGTAAATCGTCTTAAAATATGCAAATGCATCAGAATAACAATAAAGTAAGCCTTAAATCATCACCTCATCTACTTTCTTCTTTTCAAGCCTTGAAAGTCTCTCTTCCAATAAAGTTCTCTCATTAACCAGTTTCTTCTTGGTTTCTTCAGCTGCATGCAACTCTGAGTTACGCATTCTTAACTCATCTTGGATCTTTTGTAAAACCTGTGAGAAAAAGCAATCAACTGAATAATTTAGAAAGAATGATGACTATCTAACGATGAAAAAGTGCTAGCATACTCACACATGAATAAGCAGGATTAATTATATCAACTCTAAGCAGGACAACTAACATAAAGAAAAATCAAGGATTCAAAATAGAATACGAGTTTATAAACCTGATTAGTTGCCTCAACTAATTCCTTTTTGGTATTGGTCTCCAACTCTCCTTTACTAAGCTGTGAAAGCCTCAGTTCCATGTTCCGCTTCTCAATCAGCGCAGCCTACAACATAAGAAAAACAAAAGCAATATGAATAACTCAACTCCTCAAAAGATTAGGTTAGGTTTAACTATAACTGTGATTACCTGAAGCACAGATTCTTTCTCTTCACATAAAGATCTAAGTTCATTATGTTCGGATGATAATACTTCCAAATGTTGCTTTTCTGATCTCAACATATCTTTCAATGCCTCCACTTCTTCCTGCATACTCCTTTCCTTTTTCTGTTTCTCCTGTAATTCTTCTGATAGCTGCATTAGTAAACAAGGAGTAAGTCCCACCATCTCCAGATTCAGACACGAAATACCACTGTTTCATCTTGGCAAAAGCACTTCAACCATACTATGACAACGTAAATGAAACTCTCACGAGTTACGATCAGTGACACTCACAAGAGGACGACTAGCCAAGAAAGATCAACAAAGAAATGACAATCAAATGAATTCTAAAATTTGCTACTGGACATCCATTCCCCATGGGATGAAATATACCTGATCTTGGGAAAACAGAATATAGAACATAAGAAACAAATTTACTAGACACTTCATCAATAATTAATAAAGATACAAAAGGTAGTAGCTAATGATACCAAATTTCTTACTTGATTTGCAGTCTTTTGGGATTCTTCAAGAGATTTTGACAAATCCTGTAAACGTTTCTCACTAACATCCACACTGGGAGGCTTCGAATTGGTTGGAGGATCAGCACCACTATTGCTAAGAGGGGCTGTACTAGTAGCAGAGCGTGCTTTAGAGTACCGACGTAGCATAACATCGTTTATGTGTGTTTGAAGGGCAACACATATTTCCTCACCCTGTAAGGAAAGAAAAAAATGGACTCTGGTTACCAAACCAAACCCGACCCGTTAAATCCAACACAGAAAATGGACTAGTTACAAGGAATGCAAATTAAGTGGAGGTCTCAAATACCATATAAAGACATAAAATAGCTAAATGGATAATGTTCGAACCTGTTTAGTTTCGAATTGAAATATATGCAAAACACCAGCAACTCTCATCTTAAAAAATACAGCAGTGTTACTGCTACCAAATTGCATTATGTCTCTTAACTCAGCAGAGTGCAGATATTCTTTGGGAACTGGACGAAAAAAGTGAACCTATGGACAAACAAACAATGTTCAGGGTTACATTTGGGGAATGATCATCAGTAAGAAATACATAATGAAATTGCGAAATCTAAATCGTTACACACACATATATTTAAGATAAGCATATTGTGATATAACAACTAAGACTCACCCCACGTTTGTTAATGCCCAATATGATTCTTCCAGGTAGAAGTCCAATGGGATCATCAATCTTGCGGACACTAAAGAAAACTGAATAACCATATGGAAGCATCCTTAGAATTCTTAAGAATTGCTGCCTTGCGTCATCTTTTGTTAAATTTTCCTACACAGGCCAACATTATAAGTTTGTATCAGTATAAAGAATTACTTCTTAGATGACTTCTAAGGGCATAAAGCAAGACAACAGGTAGGAACCTCAATGAAAATCGCAGTATCTCTACTTTTTTTTGTAAGGGTGTCCGGGCCAAAGCCCGACTAATCCCCGGCAAATTTGGAGGCTAAACATGGCCCCACTTAAATGTCGCCAACACTCCACTCCCAGGGCTCGAACTCGGGTTCATGACTATGYCATGCCCAAGCCTTTACCACTAGGCTGGAAGGTCTTTGATTTGATGGTCATAAGAAAACAAACACATTTTCAGAGAGAAAATATAAATATTTTAGTATTTCATCGATTATCAAAAGCCAAAATCGGACGCAGGGCAGGATGGACGAGAAAAGCGGCAAGGAGAAGAGAAAGAGAGGGAGACGGCCGATTTCTTGGAACTAATAGGCGCTTGAAATTCAGTAATAATAAATTCAGAGTAGGAAAAAACAGGGTGAAAGAATCAGTGTAAAAGTTTTTCTGTCCTTGGTCATCACTGCAGTATCCATAAAAGGTTATGTTCGTTATTGACATTTATATCATGCAATGATCAAACAAATAAAAGAAAAGGGTTCAATGATCAAACAAATAAAAGAAAAGGGTTAAGTTAAACACTAAACCAACAGAGAATCTCTAGGAAAACCATGTGCTATTGATACTTAGGCCTTACCATAGAACGATATCGAGCAAGTATATCCAACTCCCAGTCCCTCTTGGCACGAGTTATTGCAATCTGTCTTGGAAGATATCGCTCCAGAAGTAGAGTCCAGTCACTAGAGAAGAATAAAGGTTCTCAAGTAAAATCTAGATGGACTCACAAATCAAAAGGTATATCCTAGTAATTAATATACATGAATGAACACAAAAAGAAATGTAAGAAGAGATAGATAACTAACGTGCATGATTCGGGTTTAACAACAAATCCTATTTCAACCAAAATTTGCAAAGCTGATAGCTGTGCAGCATCATCCTTTCCAACCGGATAGTTTCCCAAAATATAGTCATGTTGTAGCTGCAAGATATGATTGAGGCATCAATCAGAATATGATCAATCATTAACCAAATAAGATAATAAGAACCATACATACTTGAACATATGATAATTGAACAAACATCGGGTCTGCGACAGCTTCATCCGACTCTCGAAATAACTTTTTTTTAAAAGTTAACTTGCATTGAGAAATCTCTCCTTTACTTCGATCCTTTGCCGACTTAAATTCCGCTAGGAGATCTCCAATGTACTTGTTGTCATCTAATCCAGTATACTCCTCTAGTGACAGCAAAATCATGTTGGTAACTTACTATCAAACAATATATAAGAAATGAAATAAAATATATAACTTCTAGAAAGCTGGGGAAAGGTGTATTAGAGGATACCATTTCCAGGTTCAGGTGATTTAGAGGCAGTAACAACTTTACGGCACTCAAATAAACTGAAGCTTGAATATGCTGACAATTTGATTATTCCAGCAAGCTCCTGAAGTGGGCATGATGAATAAATTATGATACACTAGAATAAAATATTATCTTATGGAGAAAATGGGTACACAAAGCATATCAAGAAAATGAACAGAACACTGAAAAATAGACATAAACACATCCGATAACTCGATAAGCTGAAAAGAGGCACAGTTGACCTATTATGACCTAAGCTTGTCAAACTAGTCTTGAACTCAACCTGGACACACAAAGATCTATTGCCTGCCCAACTGGAAGCTCATGTAAAGGTGTGCCTTTGGCTTCAATCTAGCATCTCTTTTCCACTTATCAATATAATTCATCAACTCTAGACTCAGGAGACCAATATCGTTTATGTAGACGGGGGTAAAAAAGATTCATGGTTGAATAAGTTAATGATTTATTACTCCTCTTTCACAGAAACTGAAGTGCTGTGACTGTTGTCCATGCATGGGCCTGTATATTGAGGCCAAGTAACCAACTTGTGCAATTCTGTTTGAACTAATTCATTTGTATTGGAAACAATTTAATCACAGTTGCTACAGCATGTATTATTGGACTCAAGAGTCTGGTCATCTATCCACAATACTAACTCTCAGCAAGCCGCTTATATTGAAACAGGCCCGCCCCGAATATATGGAGCAGGTAATAGCTTTTACTTAAACAAGATATGAGAGAAAGCTTCTTAAAACCAATCAAATGAAACCTTAAACACCCCAAAATGCATAGCATCACTAATGCCATCACAGACATCAGGGAATCAACTGTCACAATACAGAGCCCTTTTATAGCCATTGACTAAGTTCAGCTGCATAGACTAAGTTCAAAGTTCAAACCTATGAACTTTTTGTGCAACATCAGGAGGCAAGGTCTTTTCCTTCCCCATGCAAAATCATAGGTTTGAGACTTTGAGTCAAAAACCAGTGCTGCTCCCTAGTCATAGAATGAGAAATCATGCTGTTCTACTGTTGCACACAGCGCATTGTTCATAGGATACAAGACAGTTGGCCCCTTCTAGCACAAATCGTTTTATGTTGGATTTTTCACTCGACTACCTATGTACACTTAATATATACATAGAACAACCACACTAAAAAGAGGAAGTTGGTACTACCTCGACGGCATTAGCAACAGTTGTAGCCATGTCATATGCTATTTCTTCAAAAGTTTCATCCAAGAAAAACACGATTGTGGTGAGCTTTTTACCAATCAAAAGAGCTTCAATCTCTTCCCGACCAGGAATAGTATGACGTGGTCCAGCCTTCACAGAACATTTCAATGCATTTAGCGTGTTCATTGCAAAGACTTGCACATCCGGATCAGTATTCACATTGTGTGCAACATCATGAATGTACTCTGATAAATATCCACCAATATCCTTGCTAGGCGGCATGCATGACGCGCATAAATACATTAGTTCCCATGCTCTTATTAAATGTTGCCTGTATATAAGACCAACAACAAAAGGCACGCAGCAGAGATCAGTTAACAAAGCATGATCAATAACATATGCGAAACAAGTGCCCACCGCATCAATTTGTGCTTTTCCAACTGTGCATACCTATCAGGACAATTCCTGGTTTGCTTTGAAATTTGTGCAAAAAGTTCATCTCGAAGCTCAGAGCGTTTCAATGCCTGCTTGTATAATTTACCAACAAGTTCGATTCGTTCTTCTAAGCCAATTTGATTCCCTTTCTCAGATGAATCAATGCCCATGTATTTTAAAATGGTCTGGAACAGTTTTACTGCACGACTTACAAAATCACCATTTATCTTCAGTAGGGAGGTTGGAATAGGATCCTGTGACAAGTAGCATGTTAGAAAACTATCTGGTGAAGCAGAAGACATAATGCCAAGTAGATGTGAAAGAAAATGTGATTACCTTTTGGAAACACAACATGTCTTCAAATGTGAACTTCTCTCGATCTTGAGGACCTACAGATCTTTTTGAGAAAAAGCCACGTTTTCCAGCAGAATTTATCTGCTTTTGCATGGCCCTTAGAAATCCCTCTACCTAGAAGAAACAAATGAACAGAATGGGGGCCGAGGAAGTAAGAATCTTGAGTTCATCCTTGGTAAAGGTAATTGCTTATTTAATATACAAAAAACTTCCAACCTGGAATTTATCAATCAAAGGTATAGCACCAGCAAGCTCTGCTGGAACTGAATTAGAGAGGGTCATTGGTGTACTGCAAGAAGCAAGAAGATATCATCAAATCAACAATTGGACATCTGTTCCATTAAAGCATCCTGAATTTCCTTATAAGTTGTCTTAACTGAAGCAACAACAAGGTTTGATGATCAAAGCAGGAAACACTTACGGTGGCGCAAAATTCGAACCATCACTGTCATAATCATCTCCGTTTGTAATGGCAGAATAGTGTGATGGAGTTTCATATCCATTACTTGAGCTGAAAGAAGATCTGCTTGTTCTCACACTTTGGGTCATAGTTGATGGTATATCAGATGCCATTTCCTCTACAAAAATACTAACTGCCAACAAATTGTGCTTATAACTTTATCATTCTTCTCCCTCCCCAAAATCATCCATACCAGTCTCGTATATGTTCCTAAAACCCTGCAAATGTTAAGATTTCAGAACCCAAAAGAAAATAACCGATAACGAGAAAAATAAAACTTAAATTCTTTTAAGCCATAAGAATCCTTAGGTCTAAAATTCTAAAGCACAAAAATGAAGTTCGACTGCAGCTTATTCCCTGTCAAACCCCCTATATTAGAAAGATCTAGTATATCAACAAAATACACAAGAAGAAAATTAGTAAAATACCAAAACATTCACACATTATCTCAGCTCTTTAAATAGCTAAATAATGAAGAAGCCTAACAGGAGAGATCTTGAAGTCAAAACAAAACATTAGAGCGTGCGAAGCGAAGGTATGACCAGAATAGGGAACACGAAACACGTATGGCTCACTATAATCATAAAGCCATTAAATCTAGCAAAGATCCACAGCAAAGCACATGTAATAGGTCAAAAACCCATTCTTGGAGTAATGAGAAGCAGGAGTTGAAATTGATTTGTGGGAAACATGAAAGGAATAATAAGTAGTAAAATAGAAATGAAAATGTACCTGAGATTGAGGATTGAGAAATGATGCGAGTGGGGATGAAGATAGGTATAAAATGGGTGCCGTAGAAAGGAAGATCTGTACCAGTCGTTTGTTGCCGGCACTGAGGAGAGAGAGAGAGAGAGAGAGAGAGAGAGAGAGAGGAGGGAGGGAAGAAGGGAGGGAGCTGAAGGGCTCACGAGACTGTTTTTAAACAATTAAGCTCCTTTTTGGACACAGTAAAAAACATTTTCCAGATTTTATTTTTAATTATTATTATTATTATTATAATATATACATATATCGTAAATATATTATTGCAGATAGACAGTCATTGTAACATTATTTGAACCAGGAATAAAATGGTCATTATTAATAGATAAAAAGGTGATGTCAATCCAAAAAAAATTGAATTAAAATAAAATAATAATAGTTTTTAGGTCCAGAAATCACGTTTTTCCGGAAAAATGAGTAAATAACAATATCATAAATAATTAAAGAATCTGTCAAAAAACAATATCATAAAAAATTATTTTAAAACCTTTAAATGATATTAATTGTAAGGAATATAATTTGGGTGGTTGGGTTATATCAAACATGTCATATACGGAGGCACGTAATTTTTTTAAAACTTCATTTAATTTATAAATATTTAAACTCAGATATAATTATATTATTTCTCAAAAACATCAAATTAATCGTTTAGATTCGTTTGTTAAAATGTTTATCGAATTATCAGTATAATAAGGATTAAAAATCTTAAAATATCTACAAAAGCTTTTTTTTTGTAAATGAAGATTTTGTTATTGGAATGGAATTGGAAGGATTTGGATTTGAAATTAATTCCAATCCTACGTTTGGTTTGTAGGAATGGTCAATCCTACGTTTGGTTTGTGGGAATGGTAGGATTTAAAATCCTGGGATTCATTTAAAATCCCACCAACACTGGATTTGAGAATCCTTTGAAAATACACGGGATTTTGAAATTCATTCCCGTGGGATTTCATTCCTGCCCTTCATCGCTGTCTCCTCCATTGGTACCGATTCCTACTGTTCTCGTCATTGGTACTGATTTCTACCGTTCTCGTCACAGATTACATCGCTGTCTCCTCCATTGCTCACCGTCGCCCTTCGTCTCCGTTGCCACCGCCGTCGCCCTTCGTCTCCGTTTGGTTTGTAGGAATGGTCAATCCTACGTTTGGTTTGTAGGAATGGTAGGAATCCAAATCCCTCAAAAACATTTCTGCAAACCAAACGCACCCTAAATGATTCCTTAAAATAGTGAAAACAAGATAAATCTATGAATTTAGAGAATTCTCTAAACCTTGATGGAGGTGAGATAAATTATTTTTTAATTCATTTCCACCAATAAAATTAAACTATTATTATTTTATATAAAGTTTTTTAACATGTATTGAGATAATAAAATTGTATAATATTTTAATAATATAATTAATGTTAAAATCTTTAAAATGTAGATTTTGTTGAAGTGAAATGTAATTTCATTTACAGGTTTTGACTTATGGTTTTTTATTTTAGAGAAATTATAAATAATTTGTTGAAGATGCTCTTACCTATAATATGCACAGCAACGATCAAGGTTCTTACACGGTAAATGAAGGATAAGACTCTTACCCTGCTAGAACTTACTGAATAAGAGACACTTACAAATAATATATTTTAACAGCTGAAAATGTTACTGAAAAAGGTAAGTGAGAATGATAACACTTGTCGTAAGAGCTTACCCGATATACTAAAGCATCACCAATAGTTACTCTATAGTTTTTATTAAAACATATAATCTCTAAAAAGAATACTTCTGACTCCAAACGACTATTTTGGTTTAGCGATTTTTTATTAATTATATGACTAAAATATTCAATGTATTTAATAAAATATTTATTTCACTCTTCTTAACCATTTAATTTCAGTATTGTTATTAATGAAAAGGAATTAAAATATTATTCTTTTCTCTCAAATATTAAGTTTTAAAAATTATTATATATCCTAGAATTAACCCTTATTAGAGTTTTTATATTGAAGTCAATCAATCTTGGGCTTAGGTGGTAACATTGTTTGTCTAAGAAGGATGCAAGTTTTACCTTGAGAGTTTGGGGCTGAAACAGTGACTCGTGCAGGTAAAGTCGCGACACAAGCTGTGCGACTCACTAGAATGTTTTGATCTGAAGCATACGAGGTGACTAATGTCGTGACCTAAGTCGCGGTGAAAGTTGCAGGAATTGATCTGGTTTATACTTATGATGCCGATTTCTTCAGGTTTAATGCCATAACTCATCTTACTCGCTCGTTCTTCATTTGCTCATCCGTAAATTCGACCCCATAGCATTTAAGGCGATATTTGTTGATTCTTGGAGAGTTGGAGTCATTCAAGAGCACTAAGTACAAGATTCAAGCGTCCATTTGTTTATAGGTTTTCTTCAAAACCTAACTTCTGTCATTCATCATAATTTTTCTTTAAACTTTATACATGTCAAAAAAAATCATTTCAGTAAGAAGTCTTGGTATCTTAATGCATGTATTTAATTTATTCGGAGCTATTAAAGCGAGATTTTGCAGTACCTTGACATGACATGAGCATGAAGAACCAATCAAAGAATTTCTTTATATCCCTTCTAAGTCTAAGTGTTCTATTCCTTTTTTCACAACAGATCCATGCAATTTCATCAAGTCGAAAGAACTTCACCGAGTAACTTCTGATGCAACATCCCGCTTCGTTTTTGTGACAAGGCTTTGGGGCTTCATCAAGTCGCATTTAATGTACGTTGATTAGTCCAGTGTTATTTACATTCTTGGTCATTTCTATAATGTTTTTCTTGATCTTTTTTTTTTGCATAACACCTGTAACGTATGTCTATATATAAACACACTTAAATAGCAATTTTAGCAACATATTATGCATCGAAATCGAATACTTAACATATGTATCATTACAAGTCGTTTTCATTGAAATCATATCATTTGGACCTCAATATCAACTCCACTATCGTTTCTAAACACTAAAACAAATATAACAGGCTACTTACTTAACATTTAAATGAAGTGTAAACATCAAACAAAACCATACCTCAAATCATATGGTTTATCCAACAAATAATTTAAAAACATTAATTAACGTAGTAAAACTAGTAAATATTTAATAACGTTGTTCAATTTACACTGTTGACGATTTTAACTTTTAGTTATATATAACAACAATAAAAACAAAGTTTGTTAATAATTTTTTAATAAAAAATAATAATTATTTTTCAACAAAAAGCGAGAGGAGAGAGAGAGTGATTGAAGGGGAATTCCCAAGGTGTGTAAGATGATTACAAATGGACAAAATCACATAATGCAGAAGGCACAAAAGTAAGGGGGACCTTGCTACCCAAGGAAATCCATCTCGTAAAATATATAAATAACAATCTATTTTCATAAATTTTTTTATTATTGTATTTATAATTTTTCTTATTATAGTAATGTATTTTTAAACTATTTTTTATTAAAACATTATACTTTGAAAAATTTACCCATTATAACATTGGATAACCTTTTGATTTAAATTTACTCATTATATTAGATTTTCATGCCAACTCATTGTCCGCGTAGGCTGTCTACATGTATTATAGTGATGTGACTTTTTTATTACAATATTGTACTTTCAAAATTACTTTATTATAACATCTACTAGTTCTTGTTAAACAATGTACTTTTAATTTTAATATTTAGATATTTTACATGTTATTTAATAGATATATTAAATGAATTAAAAAAAATTAAATTATTCATTAATATACCAATATTAATAAAATTAGTAGAAGACAACTTATTTAATTAATATTTTTAAAAAGATATGTGTTTTTTGGAAAAAGAAAATAAGAATTGTTTCTTTCAATATGATGATAACTTGCATACCATATGCATAGTATATCAAAAAGAAAGAAAAATAAAAAATATGGTGTGGTTATTACTCTGAAATTGGTGAAGCGTTATTTGGACGGGAACATAGACACTGTATATGTGTAGTAATTCATAAATAAAAAACGATGTTGCTTTTTTTTTAAAGGCCATAATGCTATAAAAAACGGATTTGGATTTGGAGAAAAAAAATGTAAGAGGAAGACGAAATGTTATAACTTTTTTTCTGGTTTTGACATTCTCAGAGTAGAAGACTTTCACAGACCAATGTTAAACATACAATTCTTCCTATTACATATTGTAATTATTGATGATGTGGATACCAAGTTGTCAAATTATTATTCTTGATTACATGGAATATATATATATATATATATATATATATATATATATATCAAAATCAAGAAGTATCACATGGGTTGAAAACTTGTTTATCAAGTAAATTCGATTATTCGAGATATCCCTGATTTAACGAAACTAAGGCTAATGGTAGTAGGATAATTAAGGGACCCAATATACAACAAAAATAAAACCAAAACGACCATATACGCAATTATTTCGCTTGAAGAACCCAAATGATAATTTTCATATAACCATAGGGACAGAATTTATAATTTACTCAAATTCATATTTAAACTAAGTAAAAGAAAATTAATCCAAATACATTCTGTATTTATACAATTAACCGTAATTTTCTCTCCAGTTTCTTTCCGTTCTCTCATAAAAAAAACCTGATAACACAGAAAAAAGAAACATATGAACTTTGCTTATATTTTTTTTTCTTCTTCCAAATTCAGAAATTTTCTCTATTTATTTATATATTTTAAGATGATTTATTTAACATAAATTCGAAAGAAATGCCGTAAATCTTACAAATGGTGTTTTAAGGGAAAAGGCTGTGTGCAGGCCCATGCCGGCGTCTCCCTTGGCATTTAAAAATTAAAATTGTAATTTTTTTCTTTTTCCAAATTTTTAATAAAAAAGAAAAGGCTTAGTTAAATATTTAAATTATATTATATGTTTATTTAAAATATGATTTAAATAAAATAAAATGATGTTTATAAATTAAGAGTTAATGAATTGAATGGCAGTGGCCTGGGACTGGGACTAGTTTCTTCTTCCATTTAACCGATTCACGGGAAATGGGCTTGTGGCCACATGTTCAACCTTTTCGCATGAAATATTTATTTGTTTTGTTATT